TGATGTAGCAAATGGTACAATAGCTGAGCTTAAGAGAGAGAATAACTTACGTGAGCAATATTCCAGAATAAATAATGTTGAAATTTCCGGGATACCGTCACATAAAAGTGAAAACCTGCTGTCCATTTTGGGCAATATTTACTCCAAGGTTGGCTTGCCTTTGGATCTACGTGACATTAACCGTGTACACCGTGTTCGCCGTTTTGAACAGGACAGAAACGTACCTTCCCGTCCACCTGCTATAATTGTTCAGTTTGCACGGCAATGCTCTAAGGATCAGCTGTTGGCAGCTATTCGGTCTCGACGTGGTATCAGCACAGTTGATGTGGGTTTGACCGGTCCTGCTACAAATATCTACTTCAGCGATCATCTCATACCGGCGAATAAGTTACTTCTGAAGCGCGCGCGTGAGTTGAAGCAACAACGTGGTTTTGCTCATCTATGGGTTCGCGATTGTAAAATTTTCATGAGGAGTCGGACTCCTCTAAGGCCATACGTATATCTGGTGATGGTGATCTCTCGAACATAAAGTGACCGTTTTAACTATGTTTTAGATATTATATTATACTGTCAAATTTGTTCTATATACAACTTGTGTGGGGTAACTTATATGCAAGCATTTTCGAAGGACTTTTCTCTAGTCTCGTACTTTGTGGACGTGGGTGGTGACAGTTTGATAATTTTTATTTTTATTAAAATTCTCTGAAATAATTAAGATTTATTATCAAAATGTTAGGGGTCTTCGAACAAAATCTCATAATTTTTTAAATAATATTTTATTAAATAATTACGACATTTATTTAATTACCGAAACTTGGCTTAATAATTTTCATAGTTCTGAGTACTTCGACGATAGATACATTGTTTTCCGCCGTGATCGGGATTCTCTAGTCACAAACGCAGAAAGAGGTGGCGGCGTTGCGATTGCCGTACGCCGAGATTTAAATCCCACCATACGTGAGGGATGGGAGGCATCTGTCTCGTCTGAGCACTTGTGGATCAGTGTCCCACTCACCGATAAAGGAAACCATCAAGCTCCTGGATTCCTACACATATGTTGCACTTATGTTCGTCATAGCAGCTGTCATGAGTCCGAATTGAGCCTTATAATGGAAAGTGTGAGCAACTTAATGCACCTCTATCCAAATGACAAGTTTATAGTTGCAGGTGATTTCAACGTGTCCCATGCGGTATGGTGTTATGATGCCGAGTCTGACTCCATGATTATTCGTTCTGAGTCTGGTGACGCTTTGACACAATTAACTGCAGATTTTATGAGCTTCTCTGGTCTAAAACAATATAACTCACAGTTCAATGTCAATAATAGACTTCTTGACTTAATTTTTTGCAATAATGCCTGCTCTGTCGAGGCTCCCCATTGTCCATTATCCCCAGAAGACGCTCATCATAGGTCCCTCTCTATCAGTGTGCATAATATGGCACCCGTATCACTTCCTCAGAAAAGTACCACTAGAAGGCTGTTTCACAAAGCTGATTATAACGCCATTCAGTCAGCACTTGCTTCGGTTAACTGGCAGTCGGAGCTCCAGGCTGCTGGTAGCGTTGATACTATGGTTGGGAATTTTTATAGAATTGTTAATGCAGTGATTGACCAACATGTACCAACTCGCATAGTGTCGAGCTCAAACCGATATCCACCATGGTACAGCCGACCCCTTATTAACTCGTCGAGTACCGGATTTATAGACACAATTAAAGAACAATAGGTCGCGGTCACCGGTGACCGCTTGGTGTTTGACAGATTAAATTAACCAAAGAAAAAAGGAAGTATCACGCAAAATGGAAACGTTACGGAAGTCTCCTGGATTATCAAACATTTTCTAGTCTTCGTAAGAGGGAGCGTAAGTTGCAAAGGGCCGACTATGACAAATTCATAACACTAAGTGAAGATCAAATCCATAAATCACCCAAATATTTTTGGTCCTTTGTGAAATCAAAGTCTCTAAATAGTGAAATTCCTACAACAGTAAAATATGAACAGACGATTTCTAGCACTGGTGAAGATACTTGCAGGCTCTTCAATGAGTACTTTTATTCGGTTTATATTCATTCCCCAGCCCGTCCCGTAAATTTTGATTTTGATAATCCCCCTTTGAACTCTCAAGCACAAATTAATGTATTAACCGTGACCGAGAATCGTATTTATGAGGAGCTTAAAGCCATCGATCCTAATAAAGGAGCTGGCCATGATGGTATTCATCCATTGTTTATCCGAAAATGTGCAACTCAGTTATTCCCACCGCTAACTATGATCTATACTAAATCACTATGTGATGGTATTTTTCCTACAATATGGAAACAAGCTTTAGTTACTCCAATCCCGAAAAGTGATAGAAGAGACGATGTAACGCAATACAGACCGATAAGCAAACTTAACCTACTTGGAAAAATTTTAGAAAAAATTGTAGCGAGTGAGCTTTCACGATTGTTGCAGCGTCATATATCCCCAAACCAGCACGGCTTTTGTAGAGGTCGGTCAGTGGAAACTAATCTGCTTGATTTTACCGATTACCTAGTCAATGCTATGGATAAACGACTTCAAGTGGACGTTGTTTACACGGACTTCTCTAAAGCTTTTGACAAAATCAATCACGATATGCTTATTGAGAAGCTTTGGAGAATTGGAGTACATGGTGATTTGCTTCGTTGGATTAGCTCATACATAAAAAATCGCTCTCAAGCCGTATTCCTAAAGGGTTACACTTCTAGTTTTCTGGAGATCCCATCTGGTATTCCACAAGGATCACATCTGGGGCCATTGTTATTCATTCTTTATATTAATGACATTGGAGATATCCTTAAAACATCTAATTTTCTTTTATATGCAGATGACGCTAAATTCTTTAGGATTGTTTCTGGAGTGGACTGCTGTTTACAGTTACAGTCCGATCTCGATGGGCTCTTTAGTTATTGCTCTATGAATCAACTTTACTTAAACTTAAATAAGTGCTCCATCATCACATACACTCGAAACCGTACACCTGTAAACTATAACTACCATATTAATGGTGAATCCCTTAGTCGAGTTTACTCGGTTCGTGATTTGGGTGTCTTGATGGACTCACAACTCTCATTTAACCTACATATCGATCATGTGATCAAGAAGTCGTACAGGCAGCTTGGTTTCATTACAAGAATTTCAAAGCCATTTAAACGAGCTAGTACTTTAAAGTTACTTTACTTTAGTTTTGTACGTTCTCTATTAGATTTTGCATGTATCATCTGGAGCCCCTATTATGCATGTCACATCACCCGAATTGAAAATATTCAAAAGAAATTTATTAGATGCTTAGATTACCGCTGCTGTCACCCTCATGTATCTTATGAGACCTCGTTAAGATACCACAATTTGTCATTGCTCTCTGACAGAAGAGAGTACTTTGATCAAATGTTTCTTTTTAAAATAATTAATGGTTATATTGACTCACCCCCACTATTAGAAAAAATATATCTAAGAGTGCCCCGACATGGTTCCCGCTTGCGAACATTATTTTCAGTACCCTCTTATCGAAAAATATACACAAGGAACAACTTTTTCAAACGCAGTGTTAACACTTATAACGAAGAATTAAATGAATTAGACATATTTAATACCAGTACCAATGTGTATAAATCTAAAATTAAGCAGAAATATCACGGTCACTTTATAGGAATGTAATTTCGTTTATCATTTTAAAAACTTTATCTCTGTAATTCTTTTCTTTTTTTTTTAATGTATACTACTGATTTGACACCTTTAAAAACAGTGCCTTTTCGTATATTATTGTTTTATGGAACTCTAGGTCTGTATGTATCACATTGTATTTTAATAATTTTATTTGTAAGAGACTGTCTGTTTCCTGAATAAATAAAAATAAAAAAAAAAATAAAAATTATTATATTTAGGACATGCTTCAAAGTGACCACATCAATATTTGTACGTGGCAGAAAGATTCAGTTATATGAAACATTACTAACCCGCCCTGATATGTGACTCGTGGAACCGCTTGGCGCAGTTCTCCGCGTGGTGGCTCTGTGACGTGGTGGTGTTCACTACTAAGTAACTTAGTTCCTCGGCCAGGGACTGGGTGCCGTCTGTAACCAACCGGAAATAAGAATGAAGATCTATCTTGATATAATATCATAAGAGAAGCTGTGTTTATTAAGTGTGATGAAAAGAGAACACGATTTGGACATGGATATTAAGAAAATGGGTGAAAGAAAAAAATGAGCAAGACAGGTGGTTTCATTAAAGTTAATTTCATTTTTTTTTTTATTGTTTGCCCTACACACTAGGGTTTTCTACTGAGCATTGTGCAGTGGATACATTTACAAACATACAAGTTTACATCACACCCAGACCCGGAACCACCATATATGATTCACAGAAGGAGTTGCTCCGTGCAGGAATCGAACCCGCTACACGTTGCGCGGCAGTCCTATACTTCGTATACGTTATACGTGCCAGTGTTGTCACTGTCGACGGGGAAGGTGAGGATGCAGTCGGGCGTGTTGTAGGTGGCGGTGGAGACGAGGCGGTGCAGCGCGCCCAGCAGCAGGGCCAGCGGCGGCCGCTCCGCCGTGAACAGCTTCAGGAAGCGGCCAGCTCCGCCGGCTCGATGCTCTGGGAGGCCAGCACGTGGATCAGCTCCAGGATGCTGCGCTGCAAGTCTGTAAGGAATGAGGACTCAGGTTAAGAATGTGGTATAATATTTTATGGCAAAAGTGGTAGCGTCCTTTACAAGAGGGTATAAACGCTAATGAAATACGGGTTACCGAAAGTGAGTTAACCGCAAGTTAACAATCGTTAATATAGATAGAGATTTTGTCCAATGAACTATAATTATTGGGCATGCAATTTTCAATATCTTCATACTTGCTCCCCGATTGGTTTACGCTAAATTGAGGCCACGCGGTGAGCAGAAAAACGGTCATCCCTATCGAATAAGAGAGTGGAACATGAGTTGATGCTAAGCAGTGGTGTACCTTCGAGTCGCGGGTCAGTGGTGGCCAGTAGCTGCGCGGGCGCGGGCGCCAGCAGGCGCTGCAGCAGCGCGGGGTGCGCGGGGCGCGCGCGCGCCAGGGCGGCGCCCACGCGGCCGCACCACGCGCGCGCCACGCCCACGCCGGCGCGCCACGCCGCCTCATCGCACGACCCCGACTGACGACTCTGCACCAGTCTGCGCAGTTACACCCACCCATTTATTTCAATTGATCCAAATAAACGGATTAAAATATCATTATTTTACATACTGCGTTTAAAAACCTACCCCAAACCCCTCCTTTTTTGAATTCGGTTAATTAAATTAAAACCTTCTCTCAAATGTATCAAACACTTTTCCACATCAAAATCGGTTCTGTCAATCGCGAGATAATCGTACACAGCACATACATATAGGTCCAAGTGAGCACCTGTTTTTCTTTCTCCTTTGAAGTCGGTTAAAAATAGTCCATCAGTACCTACTAAATGCTCATTTTAAAATGTGTACCTGCCTTTACAGACAAACCAACATTTACATAATGTCTTTGACTATCTAAGTCAGCCTCATTCCGACTCTTTTCAAAAGGAAAGGAAAGGAAACTCTGACTTTTTGCTTAACCCGTCGAGCGTCCGCGTTCCTTATGATCCAACGGGTGCACACGTGACATTTGGAGCATTTTTCCTTATGATCCACCGGGTGCTCATAAGGACGCTCGAGGGGTTAACGTCTTTCAGTCATAATTTCACTATAATACTAAGACCAACAATGAAGCTCTCTAAATATAAAAGCAATACTAAAGTCATACTTGTGTATGAGCTGGGTGAGTATGTCGACGACGATGACACACAGCTCGGGGTGCGCCAGCTCCCCGCTTTTCGTGTACTCGCCGCATTCCGCGCTCAGCTCGCCGACTGGAGACGAGATGCCTGCAAATAACATCAAAAAAGACATTACTACAAAAAATATAATAAGTAAGAGAAATGTCTGAATCTTATGTCCAAACACTCAAACGCCATTCAATTTTAAGTCGCGCTTAAGTTTAGTTCTGTCACTACAAATTCTTTGTAAAGTGACAGAGATGGCATGATAATTTTTATTTATTTACTTATCTTTAAAAATATGTTGCCCCACACTAGGTTTTTTTCCTGTGTCGTGGGTGCGTATACAAACATACAAGTTCACATACACCCAGACCCGAAAAAACAATGTGTGGATCACACTAAGTGTTGTTCTGTGCGGAAATCGTACCGCGGACGCGGCACGCTGCAGGGCAGCCGGTTGCCCAGCCACCGCACCAGCCGTGCGGTCGTCGTCGAATTAAGTAGAACTTCAAATTGAGTAACCTTACAGTATTCGAGCGTTAAAGAAGTATCTGAGGATCGCAATACCACAACACTAGTGAGCCTCTAACGGATATCTTTCGGAATTATGATATAAAAATCGACCAATGACGGGCGAGAATGCGATCGAGCTCGCTTCGCAAGTTCGAATTGACATTTTACATATTAGCTTAGCTGAGCGTTAAGTAACAATTAACTGATTAGCAAATTGGTTAAATTACGATCAACTTTGTTTCAAGTTTTGATGAAGACTTATTAATCTTAAACTCGACATTGATCGATTGTGTTTACATATAAATATGTCTAGGATATTTTTAAATCAACAAGTTCCAGTTCCAAGAACACAAAATTTTAAATATTTTAATTAATTATCATGTTATTCGCACTCATTTCTATGAGAACTTTAAAACACCTGTACAGTTAGGTAAACTAGCTGATATCGAGATAACATCGTAAATCAGCACGTATTGTATCACAAAATATGCAGAAATGCAGACACGATACAGCTTTTAACAAATTAAAATATTCAATCCATAACAAGATACACGTGGGAGACATAAAGCGATGGTAGACGATAACACTAACAATCGAATATTCGCCAAAAATTACCTTCAAAATCGAAACTGGTTGCGCTTTCCATATTATATACACAAATATATTTCAAATATTATCACTAGATATCACAGAATGTCCACTGAACAAAAATTTATAAACTTTTACATTTTAACTTTAGTTCAAAATTTGACGGCGACCGCGGTACTACGATACCGGTATATTGGTATGCGGGCGAAGAGTCACTGACCACTTATTACGAAAAATAGGCGCGGAAAAAACTAGTAGATAGGTACAAACCATGGTAACATATCATTCTCTATGTTACTAAGTACTGCGATGCGCGGAAAGTTGTTTAGTATTTGTTTACATTCAAATATCAATTAGAAACATAATTAACGGTTGTTGATGTAATTATTTAATAATTTACATCTCGAATGCGTACGCAATAAATTGTGTTTTAATAAGGTTAGTGTTTCTAGGAACTACATTAATCATTAATTGGGACTGACGAGTATATTGTAGGAAAATTGACAATATTTAGATATTTGCTTAATGCAAGACATGAAATGTCTTATGTACAGGAGACCCATAGTTCAGCACTGGACTGTCACGACCTATTGATCTGAGATGTGAAGACCTGTAAATGGTTGCTGTGTATGTAATACCCACCTGAAGGTATGGTGGCCATGGATCCGGACATCTTCCTCGACCTGTACAATGGAGGCACGTCCAACTTGCCCACCTCCACATCAGCCTGTCGAGAAAATTCTCAATGAATGCATTGACAAACAAGTTTATTTGATTGTTTACGGGTGACACACTACACATTAACATTTAGGATATCGATATCAATTATTCTATTTTCCGCTATTAGCGTTGCCTTCATTTAATGAATGAATTTATCACAAATATCGTATGCAAACCACATTTTATTGTATTTTAATGTTCTGTGAGAAAACACTAAGTTTTTTGTGTACTGCGCGTGATTACTTCGTGTAGCTTACACTATAATTCCTGATTCATAAAAAATCGCTACCTACTAGTAAAAATGAACCTTCGTGTGTAGCGTATACACCTGGGTGCCTTCCTACATGGGTAGGTGTAGGTGTGTGCTCGTGGTCCAACACGCAAACAGTTTTTATTTTATTTTTTGTCATAATTAAGAGTCAGGAAGTTATTTGTTTGCATAATACTATAATTTAGAAATAAAACTTAGTTATCTATAATTTAGAACGAATTAGACCTTGTTTTGTAAATGTCAAGTTTGGATAACTTAACTAGATTAGATCTAGTTTTCTGTTTTGTTAAACATTGACTATATAAAATATTGTGAAACATTGACTCCGTTGGGGGCCTACGCCCAGCGCGCGGTGATGTTTTAGCTAATAATTTGCATTTATAATTACGATGTGTGACTTCATTGCAATGACATTTACGTACTGGAAAAAGTACTGGTTGTAAGAGACTAACCTCGTACCCCTCATCAGGTCGAGAGGCGTAGGGCTCGCTGTGCTCGCTGGCGTAGGGTCCGGCCACGCTGTCCTCGCTGGACGAGCACTCCGCGGAGCTGGCGCCCGACGCGCACTCCAGCGGCGGCACCTGTCCACACACTGCACTTTATCAATATCACACGTCACATACACACCATCCTTGGGCATAACTACACGTCACTCAACACACGATAACGACCGAAGACACCCCTACTTTTACTTTGAAGTTCTTTTTTCTTAGCACATTTTTAGTTTTAATTAATACAATTACGAGCGTATCAATTCTGTACAAAGCTATATATACAAATATGAACACATAAAACCAGAGATGTAGAACTGTGATCCCGGCATTCGGAACAATTCTATTCGGAGAACTATTATCCAATTCACAGTAATATGGACCTGTCAATTGTATTGTTATTGACGGGAACAACGGATACTTCTTTCAAGCACTTCTTATGTAGATTAAGAGCATTTCTTTACCATTGCGAAGACGAAGAATTGACTAATGAACCTCAAAATAAGACACAGGCACACAAACATGGTATGTATCGAGGCAACTGTCGAAAATGTTGTGAGGTGTAAGTATGCAAGGGAATCCTTGGAAGTGCTAGCTGAACTTGACTTACTAGACACAGGCGTCAGCATATCAACCAACTTATAGACGTTGAATATCTTTACTTAATTACTGTATAATAAAGTTTACAATCTATTAGAGGAATGCTAGATTAGAGTAGGCTGATTAGCTGCCTGTCTATAAATTACTAAAAAAACAACACCATGAACTATTTTCGGAAACCTGTACCATAAAACTTAGATTACTATGTTTAGCAATACATTATCGTGCGTACCTACGTATTACGATTTGACTACATTATTGATGTTCTGACGACAATGGTTATAATTGAATAATAGGAAGTTACAACTATAATGTTACAAATGTCAGGTTTAGGGTGAAAGTTACAAATTGTGATCAAGGATTTTAAGAACATTTGATATAAATAATAATAATAACAACTCAGAAAGTACAAACCTCACTCATCTCATGTACATGGATGATATAAAACTATTCGCTAGCACTCTCAATGAAATACACACCCTCGCTGACATCACACAAACATTTTCAAATGACATCTGCATGGAATTCGGAATAGATAAGTGTAAAATTCAATCAGTCATCGGTGGAATAGCTGAACCTACAATGTACGAACTAGGAAATCAAGAAATCATAGAATCAGTAGACCCTGACGAGGGATATAAATACCTAGGTTATTACCAGTCAAACGAAATTCACCATAAAAACACCAAAAAGATACTACAACAAAATTTTCGAAACAGACTTCATAAAATACTACACACCCATCTTAATGCAAAAAATACCATTAAAGCAATAAACACTTTCGCTATTCCTATACTGACTTACTCTTTTGGTATCATTCGATGGACACAAACAGACCTCACCACACTTCAAAGAATTATCAACACCACAATGACAAAACATAGGAAACATCACCCCAGGGCATGCATTCAAAGGCTAACGTTGCCTAAAATTGAAGGTGGTAGAGGTCTTATCGACATAACAAATCTTCACAATAACCAAATAACACTACTTAGATCATTCTTCTTCAAGCGCTCACAACACTCACCACTACATAAAGCCATATGTCAGGCAGACTCATTCACGCCACTTTATCTAGCAAACCACACAAAACAAATGACCATAATCAGCAAAGAGCAGAAAATACAGACTTGGACGCAAAAATCGCTCCATGGCCGTCATCGTCTCGACTTAACCAACCCTTGTTGACAAGATAGCGTCAAACGCATGGTTAAAGCGAGGCGAGCTGTTTCCAGAAACAGAAGGCTTTATGTTAGCGATCCAAGATCAAGTCATAGACACCAAAAATTATAGGAAATATATAATCCGAGACAGTACCCTTGGTAGTGACCATTGCAGACACTGCCACAGACAACCAGAAACAATTCAACACATTACAGGCGCATGCTCATCCATCACACAAACAGACTACAAACACAGGCACGACCAGGTTGCAGCAATCATACACCAAGCACTTGCACACAAACACAAACTCATTGCAGAAAAAATACCATACTACAAGTATACGCCCCAAATCATCCTAGATTCACCTGAATTTAAAATTTACTGGGACAGAACCATACTCACCGATAAAACCATTCATCACAACCGGCCTGACATCACGCTTCACGACAAGAAGAACAAAACAGTATACCTAATAGACATAGCGATCCCCAACACACATAATCTCAGTTCCACCCATACTAACAAACTTTCCAAATATGCAGACTTGACTATTGAACTTAAAACCCAGTGGCAAGTCCACACAGTCAAAACAGTTCCTATTATTATATCTAGTACAGGCGTCATCCCCAAAACACTTCATACAAGTCTAAAGTCCCTTGACTTACATCCACTTACATTCACACTTCTACAAAAAGCTGTCATACTGAACACATGCCGAATTGTCAGGAAGTTTTTATCTATTGATTAATTATTATAAAATCATCATCTCCAAGGTTGCTTTGGCCACAAGCCCGCAACTCTGGTGTATTTCCCCAGAAATGGGTGAGGTTCTTACCTAAAACACAATATAATAATAATAATAATAAATAATAATAATAATAATAAATCTTTATTAGGCATTCCAATGTTTACAGTAAAAATTTACAATGACAGCCGCACTAGGCAAAGCCTGTATCGCGGCTATCAACAATACGATTTGCTTAGGACTAATGCGATCAAAATACTAATACAAAAAAAAAAATTAAGTAAAATATAACAAAAGGACAATTAATGTGTGAAGAGTATGTATGTGAGTGTGTGAGTGTGTGAGTGTGTGAGTGCGTGAGTGTGTGAGTGTGTGAGTGTGTGAGTGAGTGAGTGAGTGAGTGAGTGAGTGAGTGAGGGTGAGTGAGTGAGGGTGTGTGTGTTATGCGCAAGAGTATTTTCAGCATCTTACTGTGTGGGTTTTAATAGCTGTTCTACTTCGTTGTATGTTAAATTATTTAAATACTTTGTAACTTTTGTTTGCATTACGTGCACCGTGTCTTCTTTAGATTTACAATTTTTACAGATTTTGTTGTATAAATAAGGAAATAAAAAATTAGAAAATCTTTGTGCAAAAGAAGTATTGACTGTGGGTACCGGGATTCTAAATATTCGATTAGTCAGCAGTTGATTGTACAATTCAGATTTCAATATTTGTTTATGGGTACGACAGACTGCAGCTTTTATGTAAAGGCGGCGAATACTTAGCAAGTTCGTCTCATTGTAAATTTGTGCTGTGGAATACCTTATGGGCTTCTTTAGCATAACCTTTATCACGGACCGCTGAGCTCTTTCCAATGAGATTAAATGTGACGCAGCTACACCCCCCCAAGTACTGATACAATACGTTAGAATCGATTGGCAAAGAGAGATGTAAATATATTTAGCTAGATCTGGGTTTGCTACGTCTCGTATTTGTTTCATAACATATATTATCTTTCTAACCCTAGCTGATAGAGCTGCTGTGTGATCACTGAATGTTAGTTTTTCGTCAATATTGACGCCTAAATATTTTATGGTATGAATTCGTTGTATGAAGTTACAATTACAGGAACTAACATTAGGTGGTTTATTGCAAATACTCTCATGAATCTTGATATCAGATGTGATCAACGGGGATGAGACTGCGGTTTTATGAAAACATACGTATTTCGTTTTTGCAGTGTTTAACGTTAATAAATTATCAGATAGCCACCCAAAGACTTTCGTCATTCCGTATTCCACACTTCTAAAACATTCACTCCAATCTGCTTCATGGAACACGATTGCGGTATCATCGGCATAGCAAATAATCTCAGCATTTTGCAGTGAGAACGACGCAAGATCATTTAAATATATTAAAAATAAAGTAGGACCAAGAACACTGCCCTGAGGTACCCCAAAGGACAGTCCCCTGGAGGAACTAACCCAGGAATCAATTTTTAAACATTGCTTCCAGTGAGATAACTCTGGAACCAATCAAGGGCAATACCTCTGACACCGATGCTTTCCAGTCGTCGCAGTAGGATTGGAATTGACACGGTGTCAAAGGCTTTTGCGAGGTCTAGGAAAACACCAATGCATGCCCTACCGTTGTCCAAATTATGCACAATATTATGGGTGAGTAACTTAACTGCATCCTCGTTGAACGTTTTGACCTGAATCCAAATTGATTTGGAGATAAAATATTATTGGATTCAATATATTTCACTAAGCGTTTATTGGCCACTCTTTCTAATATTTTTGCGAAGACTGGCAATAAAGAGATTGGTCTAAAGTTATTGGGACTATTAGTTTCACCACTTTTATGAATCGGGACAACAGCTGCTGATTTCCAAGTATCTGGGACTGTCCCAGTAGTTAAACTATTATTTATAATAGCAGCAAGGGGATTAGCAATATGATCTCTAATAGCCTTTATATACTGGACTGATAAGCCATCGAGACCCGGTGCAGTATTAGATTTTAGACTAAGAATAATACTGCCAATCTCGTCACTATCAGTCGGTTCAAAAAAGAAAGATGAGGAGGGAGAATCACAAGTATCTATTTTATGTGCAAGTTCAAACTGTGTGGTATCTAATTTTAATAATATTTCATTTGCAAATGATTCACCCACTGAAGCAAAAAAGTCATTACATAAATTAACTGATTCTTTGGGACAACCCTTTATGGTAATCAGTTCAAGGTTTTGGGACTTTGTGGTGGCTTTCCGGTGTGTAATGTCATTAATAGTATTCCAAAGTTCACGAGGATTGTCTTTGTGTTTTTCTAGTAGGTTAGATTGATACTGATTCTTAACTTTCCGTATTAATGTGGTATAAAAATTCCGATATCTAGCAAAAACTATAGCTTTTATATCACTTAAGGGATATTTTTTAGCTTCCTGGTGAAGCTTGTCTTTTACTAGAGAACACTTTAGTAAACCTTGTGTCATCCAGGGCTTCAATATGATCCTTGATCTAGACAGACGCATACGTTGGGAGTTTTTATCTAATATATCCTTTACAACACCTATAAAAATGTCAACTTGTTCATTAACA